AGCCCAGCGAATAAAAGCTGAAAGAAAACATTAAAAAGAAAAAAGAAAAGAAGTAAAATAAATAAAATAAATAAATAAATAAATAAAATAATAAAATAATAAATAAATAGATTAAAAGAAATAAAAGACCTGCTGCAGCAACTTCGGAAAACACCAAAGGCTTGAAGTCCAGCAGCAGCAGCAGCAGCTGCAGCGCAGCACAAACGAAGGCCTCGGGCTCGGGAGCAGCAAAAAGGCGGGAGAGCGGGAGGCCCTGAAGCAAAAATGAATAATTAAATGAATTAAATTAAATTAAATTAAATTAAATTAAATTAATTAAACAAATTTAATTAATTTGATTTAATTGTGTTTGTTGTCTAGTTCCAAGTTGGAATTCAAATGAGAGTCCGAGCGAAGAACGACGCACTGAACCGTAAACCCTAAACCCTAAACTCTAAACCCTAAACCCTGAACCCAGCCCTTAGCCCTGAACCCTCAGCCCAAACCCAAACCCTCAACCCTAAGCGCCAAACCCCAAACCCAAAGCCCTAAACCCTAGGCCCCAAACCCTAACCTAAACCCTAGGCCCCAAACCCCAAACCCTAAACCCCAAACCCTAAACCCTAAACCCTAAACCCTCACATAGCCGACGGGGTCGTAAGTGAAAATGGAACTCAAGAGAGAACAAAAGAGGTTTGCGGTGTATGGACTGTGGCCAGCTGTAAAGACAGCCAGCCAGGGGGGTTCTTGCCGCAAGTACTCGTCGATGGTCTGCGCAAACCCTAAACCCTAAACCCTAAACTCTAAACCCTAAACCCCAAACCCTAGGCCCTAGAGCCGCCGCCACGCACTCCAGACCCCACAGTCAGTCAGAGCTTCCCTCGTTTATCTTGGGCGCCCTTGCAAAGACCCTAAACCCTAAACCCTAAACCCTAAACCCTAGGGCCGAATGCCCCGACGCAGCACTCTCTTCGAAACCCTCGCCCCACCACAAACCCTAAACCCTAAACCCAAGCCCCAACCCCCAAACCCTAAACCGACGCCCCAACCCCCAAACCCTAAACCCTAAACCCTAAACCCTAAACCCTACCTTGGAGAGAGAGCCCGCGAAGCAGAGCAGCAAACAGTTCAGCACTTTGGAGCGGTTTGCAAACATGAAGGGCAAAGAAGGACAAGGAGAAGCAGCAGCAGCACCGAAGCCGCTGCACCAGAGGAAGCGGCGGTCTATCACGTTCGAAGGGATTTGCTGCAGCAGCAGCAGCAGCAGCAGCAGCAGCAGCAGCAGAGGCTGGTCCGCGCCAAACCCTCCCCCGGCCCTTGCTGCTGCTGCGCACGCTCTGGGGTTTGGGGTTTGCAAGCAGCAGCAAACGCCGCGACGCACAGCCAAGCCATAGATACCCTAAACCCTAAACCCTAAACCCTAAACCCTAAACCCTAAACCCTCACCTCGTCCTTTTCCAGGAAGCAACGAGGGGCGTTGACGCAAAAGCCGTTCAAGAAAAGCAGACGGGCGAGAGCATTCATCAGCTTCAACACACACCACAAACCCTAAACCCTAAACCCTAAACCCTGAGGTTTGCTCGCTTGACCCTAAGGTCATTGGCCTTGACTCCAAAACCCTAAACCCTTTTTGCGGGCTCCAAAAAGTGCAGAATTCTTGAACAGGGGTTGAGGCACATTCTCCTAAACCCTAAACCCTAAACCCTAACCTCGTTCGCCAGGGTTGTGCAGCGTTTTGAGCCTTCAGGGGTCCCAGAGCTTTGCTGTTCCTCTTGCTGCTGCTGCTGCTGGTTGTCC